AAGTATCAAAACTCATGAGACATTAAATTATATTTTAAATGAAAGATGGAAGATCTTTTTAATACATGTACTCTTTTGAAAAAGTGAAGTCCATGCCAAGTTGAGTCAAGAAGAGAAATGTCGGTGTGATCCGTGGCAGCTGCTTGCTTCCCTGGGAAGGAAGGGCCGGCTAGGAGTACAGTAGCTAGTAATCCCCTCAGCGCTCCCAGAGTCTCTAGTGGGAAAAGAACAAAGGCCTTCCCAATGCAACTAACACAGATGTGCCCAAGGCAGACTGTCAGAAACAGTTAAGATGACAGCTACTCACAGTTCATTATTTCCTTCTCACAGGTCACTGGGTGACAAGCTGGGTCAGTGTGCTTTGTCAGCTGTCCCAGGCCTTCCCCACCCCCTATTCAATGTAAATAAGGGTAAAGGGCTCCATTGGATAAACCAATGTAAACAAACACATTCCAGACACTTAAAGATGCCAACATATGATACTTATTTTATTTTGGACCAAACTTAGAATTAAATATACACACACATTTATCCAAGTAAGAAGAGAACCTCATTTCTACAACTCACTGATATAGGAAGCAAAAACATTCTAAGTGTGGCTAAAGCAAACAAAAAATATAACCCATTATGAGCTAATCAGAACCTTACATTTAGGACCTTACACAATAAAAATTTTTTTTCCTTTTTCTTCAATAGAAAAAAGAAGTTTTCCACATTAAAAAAAAAAAAAAAAAAAAAAAAAAAAGATCAACAATCAGATTGCTTTCCACAAGTGTTTGAAATATAAATTAAATGAAATGATTCTGACTAGATGACAGTTTGGATTGTGGTGATATAGTTTTTTAAGAATATAATTCAACATAATGCTCAAATAAAAATGGCAGTAGCCTAATAAAATCTTTTATGATATAATGCCCATAAAATTTTAGTAATGACTTAATATGGCTTCTCAGTATGATAACATTCTGTTATGAAATCAATAGAGTAAAAACTGCTAGGAACGAGGACTAAAACCGTGGATAAGAGTATGGGCTATACATCTAAATGGGTGTGGGTGCAAATCCCATCTTCCCCATTAACCCGCTGTATAAATGAACACATTACAAAACCACTCTGAACCTCAGTTGCTTTTCTTCATGGATTATAAGGTTACTTCTACCATCATCTTATAGCAATAAGTAAATCTATCACGTTATTATAAGTAACTATTTAGCATGGCAGTTGGCACATGGTATAAGTATTCAATAAATGATAGCTATTAGTTACCTGTCACCAAATTCAGTATATACAAAGCTGACCTGAACCACCATTCAAGGTGTGAAATATCCTGGTTAATCATGACAAGTTATATAACATATATACACAACAGTGTGGTGATGCCCATAGAAAAAGGGGAGTAGGGGTCGGTGAAGGTGGGCAAACAGGGGGATAAACGGGGATGGAAAGAAACTTTTCTTTGGGTGATGGACACACAATGCAGTGTGCAGAGGATGTTTTGTTGAGTTGAAACCTGTAAGGTTGTGTCAACCAATGTCACCCCAATAAATTCAATAATTATAATAATAAAAAGAAAAGAAAATTGCAAAAAATGTTAAAAAAAATATCTAAACCCTTCATTTGTAAGCCTGTATAAACCAGTAAATCTATACTTGGATTCAACAAGAAATCAGGCATTCACAGTCTCTCTCCATGTTTTCTACTTCTTCTTGTCTTTGCTGAAAGCTGCATATATTGACATATTTTTTATTAATCCCTTTCTAAACTGTTCCACCTTACTTAAAGGTCCCTTTCCAAGATATGCAGTCAAAAATAATAGGCCCTGTTAGAAAACCTGAAAATTTGAATAATCGCTAAGACAAAAACATGAGCGGACAGGCAAAACAATACCAAGGAGAAGCCGTAAGACTTTGGGCTCAGAGGGGCCTGCCTTGGAGTACTAGCTGGAAGGCCTTAGCCATCTAACTTAACCTCTCTGTGCCAAATTTCCTCATCAGTAAAACAGAGGTTAAAGTATTACATACCTCATAGGTTATTGGGAAGTAATGTACATAAAGCCCTCAAGGAAAGTCAGTATCTATATATATAAAAGTCTAAGCGACCATTATGACTGAACAACCAGAACAACTGGAACGACCAGTCAACCAGTCACTATGACGCGCACTGACCACCAGGGGACAGCTACTTAATATAGTAGTTGTCCCCTGGTGGTGGGTGCGCTCCCACAGCCAACCTCTTACAGCCCCTCCCCAGGGCTGGCCAGCCCCACATTGACCCCAATCGGGGGGGCCAGCTGGCCAATTTCCCACAGACTCTCCCCACAACTGGCCAGACCCCCCGGCTGGCTGTCCAACCTCCCGCAGTCCCTCCCCCTGCCGGCCGGCCCCCTGATAGGCCTTGATCTCCGGCCAGGCCAAGGGACCTCACCTGTGCATGAATTCGTGCACTAGGCCTCCAGTATGTTAATAATTGAATGTTACCCCTCATTGTCACATATACCTCCTGCTACTACCAAACTTTTTGTCTTCCCCAAATTGGGCCACTTGTGGTTGTCTCCTTCCTTAGCTATTTCTAAGGAAGTACATACATTTATATCTTTGTATTTTTTATTCTTCTCAATTATATATTCTTTATTAAAATTATTTGCTCATTAATGTTTTCCCTGTTCTAAAATTCTAATTATTTTTCAAATTTCCACAACTCAGATCATTTTCACATTTTTCCTTTAATTTTGGCAGCAATTTTATTCTTTATTTTGTAAAATTGATAAAAAGCAAGAAAATGTGAAACTGAGGCAGTGACAATACAATGCACTGATTTCCCTTATGTTTGGAAAGTGTATAAACCTAACAAAGTCATCAATATGCCAAATTCAGTACCAGGTTCTAATTTTGCCCAACGATTCCTTCCAAAGTGGGAAGAAAATAATTGCTTTAAGTACTTATGCTTTACTCAAAATAAATTTGTTAAGGAAGAGAAAAAGAGAAACTGAAATTGCATCTATTGTGGTAAGTTGTGGAGGAGGATAGGAGAATGCAGATAAATCCCTGTGGCTTTAAGGAAAATAAAGAAGGCCAGAAGAGGGGGCCCTGGGAAATTTCTTATAAATCCCAAACATATTTACCAGTCAATTCATACTGTCTAGAAATCACAAATCTAAATGCAACCCCTATTAAAAACTCTTGTGTACCTCTACTTCTTTTCAGAACCTTTTTCACAACTATTACTGTGTGCTTATACATTTCTGGAATTTTAAAGACATAACATTTAATTCTAACAACTCAAACAGGTATTGTGGTATGTTAACTGACATTAACTGCTTTTTTGGGGGAGTGGCCTCACATTTTCTAATACTATAAGCATTTCTCTCAATGTTCCATCGTCAGCCTATATTGCTTCATGGAAACACAACAAGAAAACACAGGAGACAAATCCCTAAACTACCCAATGCCCTCAGTCCCCAGAAAAAATATTTCCAGGTTGGGAAAGGAGGGAGTCACAGAAAAGAAGGTGGATTGTCACGGGGTCCCCGAATGCCGACCTATCAGGGCCAGGGCCAGCAGGAGACAAACACAAAAACACCAGCTAGGTTTCAGAAATCTGAGAGCAGAAGGAACCTGTGCCTCCTTGAGTAGAGGTAGGATAATGACAAGCCCCAGCCTTCCTTCAAAAAGCAGTGGCTGCCGAATGAGTCTGGAAAGCTAGGTCAACAGTGGCCTCAGGAAACAGTGTTTGAGTTCCCCAGTGGCCCAGTATTTCCTGAGTTCCTGTTTTACATGAAAACTTCAAGCATGGATCCCAAGAGACTTATATCCAGTGACCTGGGCAGAGAGTGGCCTAGCTGTCTAACTGTAGCCTTTGGTCCTGTTGTGAAGCATCAGTGAGTTGAGAACCTTGTATAGGATTAAAAAGCAAGGAGCAGGGAAAGACCTGGAACTTAAGCTTTCTTCCAGCTCCAGGAAACCCCTATACCAGTATATGATACGGGAGGTACTAAGTTTGTTACTTTGTTTAGCTGTGCCCCATCTTACGAAAAGCAATAAAACCAAAGGATCTGAGGTTTAAATAACAAATTAAAGAGACAATAAATTGAAGAGTCACTTTTTTATCAGGGGGAAAAAAAGTTTCTTTTCGGTCAAATTCTGAGGCAGGAATATGTAAATTCAGACTGTAAGAAAGTTTTTAACTGAAATAAAAAGTTGTCATGTTGCACACAAACTTACACAATGTTATATGCCAACTATATCAATAAAGCTGTCTAAAAAAATTTTTTTAAGAAAACAAAAGTTGCTATTTTTTTCACGCAACTGATATATCTACCTATAGTTAACATATTTAAACGTAGGAATTCTCCTAAACTTTAATGAGTATGGTGAGTACTTCAATCAATAGTCAATTTCAAATAATTATATATTAAAATTGAAGTTTTGCAATTTATAACAACAACACCCCCCCAAAATAATAATAGACTTTAATTTTCTAATCAAATAAAGAGGATTAGAGAAACAGTTTCCATTTTCCAACCAAGGATAATTTTCAATTGGTTAGCAAAATCACTGATGTTCATTTTATTCTAGGAACAGAACTTATGTCAATCAGTTAAATTATCACTACTTAAGACCATCTATTGTGCACTCATCCTTAGGTCTAAATGTAATATCTTAAAGACCTCTTGGTAGTTTTACAATTGTTTATACTCTTATGTCTTCCCTAATTATGTTATTTCAGGCTACTGTAGTGCGATCTCAGGACAGCAATCCTTCCCAAGTATGCTTATAAACAATACCATACATTGATCTTTAATGAAATACACATAAATGTCACCTCTCTTGATCAAATGTGACCTAAAAACTACTGTGCTAGAAAGCCAAAGGGCTTTAGAGATATTACAATAATCATTAAGAAATCAATCTTAAAAAAAAAAAGAAATCAATCTTACATGAAACTGAAGGAAAACAGGGAATGTCATTGAGCAATGAAGCTCCGTGCTGTCAGTGCCCTACCTCTGAGCAGAAGCCTTGGGATGTTTCTCCTCCAGTCTCCTCACCAGTGCCACTGTCAGCTGCCCTGTCTCCCCAAGAGAACCTTCTGGCATCAAATGGGTGTCTGAAGGCTCCGACAGTTGCTGCAAACCAGGGATGCTGGCACTTTCTTGCAGAACCTAATAAATAAAATATAGGAATAAGTAGCTCTTTTTCACTGAGTGGAAACATCTAAACTATATATTTCCTGAAAATTTAACATTACACTTTTCATGGTTCTTCTTCAGTCTTCTTCATCGTGCAAATGAATCATTTCTATGTGGCCAGAACAAAAGAAAGCAGTCATCAAAAAAAGCTAGTGTGTCACCATTTTTCAATAAAATAATATTTATATAAGTATACAGATGTTTATACAAATACTAATGTACATACCAAGATGTATATTATGTGCATGATTATAAACAATACGTAACATTAAGATGTGAATTCTTGTTTGCCTCCTGAAAACAATGCACATATTTTTCTCTTTTCAAAGTACATTTTAGAGATCTATTTCTGTCTTCCCTCTGGCTCACTGCACTGACCTCTCCTGCTAAGCTGCTGCCATGTTCCTGATGAGCTGTGGTCCAGGTGCCATGGTGAATGTGATACTCTGTCTGGGTCACATCCATTTGTGCCTTTAGCTCCTCTAGGTAGGTCAGAACAAACTGAGGATAAGCCTGTAGGAAAAGAGGAAAAATGTAACAGCAGCCTTTTAAGCAACAGCCAAAAATCTATCCAACTAGAATGATGGGCTCATAGATTAGATTAATAGTAAAAAGGTGTAGCTAATAAACTTTGCATTTCATTATCAATTTCAGATCAAAATCAAGCCAAATAATTTTCACATTACAATTTCTAATTTGTTTACTTCGATCAAGTTTAACTTGATTGCTAATCTTCACCCTTAGATAAGATTAAAATATTAAAGCCATGTTATATATTAATAATAATAGCTAGCATTTATTGAGTTATTTACACATAAAAGGTATTATTGTAAAAGACATTGCATATATGTAATATGTAGTTACTATATTGTTTGGGAATATTCAATTCTGCTCTAGAAGACAAGAAAACAAATGGGATGGATGAAATTCATTAGCTGCATTAAACATAAGCAAATTAGTAACCTGAGAAGTGTCAGACAGAAATTAAGTAGAGCAAATGTATATGAACATAGATAGAAAGGGGTAGAAGTAAAAATAGCCATTTAATAGTCATGATTTACTAAATAACAAAGCAACAAATATGTATGTTACACTAACCATAAATGAAGCACATGAGACTCACAAACATCATGAGATCTGTAATTGGCCACCCACTGCTGACTCATGTTGGATCCTCCGCTGGATAAAGTCCATAGCTGCCCATCAAGCTAACTAGGGAGCACAGTTATTAGCCAAGTGTATTTGCCAAGCAGCTCTCTCACAGAGCCAGTGTGTGTCACCACCTCAGGCACCTTTTCTCCATTACACCCCCTTGCTCAAATTTCAACTCTGGTCCTTGTAACAACATCACTAGCAGGGAAGAGTAATGCAACACTAAGAGATTCAACTAACGTGGCCCTTCAACCCACTTTCACCTTAAGAGTGTTAACCTAGCCCATTTCTTTTCCCATACATTTTGCTTTGTATTTTGAATCCATTTAACAAACATGATTTGAGCATTTTAATTTGGTCGATGTATCTTTTTGTTCCATGAGCTCTAAGATAGTCTATCTAAGAGCATATTTGGAGACTACTGTTGCATCAAAGCAATTTCCCACATGATAATATATTTACATTTTAATCTTTGCAACAGCTCTTTGAAATAAGTATTATTATGTTCATCTTAAAGACAAAACAAAACAAAACAAAAAATGACACAGGGAGATTAAGCTACTTGCTCAGTGTCATCCAGTGTTTACCAGGACATAAGTTCTAGTTATACAGCCTCAAATATGATATAAACACCTCTTTATTAAGGTGTGGAACTACAATTCTAACAAAAAATAAGAGAAGGTATTCAATGAATAATTAAAGGCACTAAAGTCCTTATATTCTTCTGGGGAAAGTGATATTGAATAACTAAACTTTGTTAGAAAATGTACAACTAAATGTGCATGTTAAAATAGTAAGGGACCCCCAAACCTTAAATGCATATTACTAAGTAAAAAAAAAAAAGCCAACCTGGCCCTAGCTGATTTGGCTCACTGGGTAGAGCATTGGCCTGCAGACTAAAGGGTCCTGGATTTGGTTCCGGTCAAGGCACATGCCCAGGTTGTGGGCTCGATCCCCAGTGGGGGCCTGCAAGAGCATCAATGATTCTCTCTCATTGATGTTTTTTATCTCTCTCCCCCCCTCCCTTCCTCTCTGAAATGAGTAAAAATATATTTTTAAAAAAGCCAACCTGAAAAGGCTATAAACTGTATGATGCTAATTATGTGATGAAGAAATCATCTGCATCTCTCTGATGTTTAGTGATGTTGAGCATCTTTTCATATGTCTGTTGGTCATCTTTCTCTTTAAAGAAATGTCGATTCAGGACCTCTGCCCACTTTTAAATTTGATTGTTTGTTTTTATGGTGTTGAGTTGTAAGAGATCTTTATAAATTTTGGATATTAATCCCTTATTGTATGTGTCATTGGCAAATATCTCCTCCCATTCAGTAGGTTGTCATTCTGTTTTTGTTGATGGTTTCCTTTGCTCTGCAAAAACTTTTTAATTTGATGTAGTCCCATTTGTTAATTTTTTTCTTTTGTTTCCCTTACCCATGGATATTTGTCCAAAAAAATATTGCTAAGAGAAATGCCAAAGATTTTACTGCGTATGTTTTCTTCTAGGAGTTTTAAGGTTTCAAGTCTTACCTTTAAATCTTTAATCCATTTTGAGTTTATTCTTGTATATGGTATAAGTAAGTGGTCTAGTTTCATTTTTGCACATATCTGTCCAATTTTCCAACACTCTTTGTTGAATAGACTGTCTTTATCTTATTGTATGTTCTTGCCGAGGCTGAACTTTTTTATTTGGTTTGGCTATTTTGAGTTTTCTTCTGTCATGTATTTCCTTTTAATGTCCTTTGCTTATTTTTCTATTAAAGTGTTTATCCTTTTCTATTGTTATAACAGGCTTATTATACATTAAGTATTATTCAATTTTCTCACATTTATATTGCAAAGATTTTCCCTATTTGCCATATTTCTCTACTTACTTTTGCTTATGCTATTTTAGATATAGAAGTTTTAAAATATTTTTATATACTCAAAGCCATTAATCTTTTCCTTTATGGATTCTATCTTTGTTTGCATGTTCATAAAGATATCCACTAACTGCTACTGTGGGTTAAATACTTTAATCCATGCTTTCTTCTAGATATTTTATGGTTCCATGTTTAAGTTTAAATACTTAATTTAGCTGGAACTGGTAGTTTGCATAAAGAAAGTAATTTAACTTTATCATTTCGCAAATTAATAGAGGGATGGTCAACATTAAAAATAAACAAAAGAAAAAAATTATCCAAGTAAAAACAGTAACAAAGTGCACTATAGTGTTTAAATTTGTCATTATCATAAGTAGCTACAAATTATTGATTAGCTAGAATCAATATGCCAGAATCTATTGATAGGCCAGAATCTGTGCCAAATACTCAAAATGCTGGTATGAATATCTCTATTTTGTAGACAATGAATGTGAAGTTCAGAAAGGTTAAATGACTTGCCTAAGGTTACACAGCTAAGTAGTAGAGCCAAGATTAGTTAGTAATATCCTGAAGCAGTAATTCTTTTTTTTAAATGAATGAAATGAGCTCCATTTATGAACCAGCTGCAAATAATTATCAAATTATCCTCCATTTTAGCCTTAACTAGATGGATATAGTTGTGGATATGACTAAATTTAGATCTAATTACAATTTCTAAACCTCTATAAGAACGAAATGACTCATGAAAATAGTTTTGCTCTGTGAATCTAAAATAACTTTAATTTAAAAAATCAGCGATTGTGTTTGGGAATGTGACACTGAAATTTTTAGAATCAAAATTTTCTTTAAAATAATATGTTTAAAACACAAAATAATGCATGATGCAGCTATGAGGGAAAAGGCCTGCCATTTTTGACAACATAGATGGCACTTAAGGGGATTATGCTAAGTGAGATAAGTCAGACAGAGAAAAACAAATACTGTATGATATCACTTAAGTGTGGAATCTAAAAACGCCAAACTCATAAAAACAGAGAGAAGACTGGGGGTTACCAGGAGGGTGGGGAATTGGGTGATGTTGTTTAAGGATACAAACTTGCAACTAGTAGATAAATAAGCTCTGGAGATCTAATGCACAGCATAGTGTTTATGGCCAATAATACTGTATTATAACTTCAAACTTGTGAAGAGAGTAGATCTTAATCTTACCTCAAAAAGAAGTGGTAATTATGTGACGTGATTGAGGTGTTAGCTAATGCTATAGTGGTAATCATATGGCAATACATACTTGTAACAAATCAATATATTGTACAACATATACACTGCTATATATCAATTATATCTCAATAAAAATAAAGAATTAAATTAAATTAAGATAAAAGAAAGAAAACTGAGGACCTGACATGCTGGGTGGTTTCATAGCAATAAATTATAGAAAATTATTTTTGGCTTTGGAAAACTAGTGTTTTAAAGTCAAATAAAACCTCAGAAGAAAGTATTAAATTATAAACTTCTAGGCACAGAGTAAAATCACTTGTGCACACAAAGCATTTCTTGCTCTCGACAACAGAGAGTGCATTTTATACAAATCTGGAATGGAAAAACTTAGGAAGAAAAGCTATGGTTAACAAAGTCCTTACCTTAGAATAAATGCAGCCATCAGTTCCAAACACCCACTTCTGAGAATCATTTTCTTTATGTCTATAATGAAAATGTAATTAGAGATTGACAACTTTTCTCCTCATTGAAACGTTCTCTAGGTTTCAAATAAAAACATCATTTTCCATATCACCTGGCAAGAGGACTGCCCACACTCTACCACGGATTCTACCATACCATCGTCACTGCCACCTCAGTAGCTAAAGCCTTCTCTAAGACCACCAATTCCTTATGGTACACACAGTGCTGTGGAGTCTGGGGGTTGGGAGGGGGATAGGGAGTGTTGTCTGTGTGTGTATTACCAATGGCAATAGTGATTAAGAATTTTAGAGAATAACTAGAATTGCTAAGAATATCATAGAAATCTCTGCCCCCCACCCCAAAAATATCCTCGGTGACATAGAAAGGGGCTTAATTAAGTATAATGATTAAGAAAATGGGATGGAAAAAGATACCATGGAAAATTAGAAACCTTAGGCACCTGTTTCTGAAATGACCAGAAAATTTTATTAAGAAACATGAAATTTCCTGAGCTAAATCTAAGAAAGAAAAACTAAAATGTGATGAAGTTAGTTATACTTAAATTAACTAATCGGGTATTCGTTAATATTTAGAAACCTTGCAAAAGTAGGACAAATGAATTAAATTAGGTGTAATGGGATGTTAAAGAAGACTTTTCCTACTGCCTCTGAGTTTTGACAGGAACATTAATGGTTGAGAATAGGTGGTGGCAGGTAATGCTCTGTTCCAAAGCAAGGGGCTCTCTGATCTGGGCAGAACATGGGAAGGCAGCAGTCCCAAAGTATTCCAGTGCATATGTGCCTTTCACTCACATCCAGTTTACATACGAAAATGTGAAGAACACGTGGGTATGTCTCAGATTTTGATTCAGAAGGTCTGGACCCCCAGAAATTCACAGTAATAGGTGTTACAAGTGATTCAACTGCTGTATAAGAACTCTGGGAGCCCTACTTGGTTTGGCTCAGTGGATAGAGCGTCAGCCTGTAGACTGAAGGGTCTCAGGTTTGATTCCAGTCAAGGGCACATGCCCAGGTTGCGAACTTGATCCCCAGTGTGGGGTGTGCAGGAAGCAGCCGATCATTGATTCTCTCTCATCATTGATGTTTCTATCTCTCCCTCCCTCTCCCTTCCTTTCTGAAATCAATAAAGTATATTTTTTTAAAAAGGAAGTCTGGGAATGTGTATGTGTATAGATTATGGACCCGACTTTGAGAAACACTGAACTAGAATGATGAGAGTAGGTGAGGAAGAAATAACTGCATACATAAAACATTATAAAAGAAGAACTGATTTGGTGATTGACTAAATGGGGTGGAGGTTAAAGAGAATAGACAAGGTTAATTCTCAGATGTCAATTTTGGGTTAAAAACAAAAGAGAGAAACATGACACTATTAGAAGAGTGAAATTAGAATGGAGGAGAGGGAAGCAGAGAAGTGAGGAAATATGAAGAATTCTATACTTAGGTAAACATTTGTTTATGGAACATTGTTCAAGGCTTACCTGATACCTAAGCTAAAAATCCCATTCTCAGGCTTGAGACAAATGTAATGGTTGCTCAATTTCAGCATTGGGTGGGGTGAGATGTGTTGAGAGAGGTTAATCTTTCTAGAGATTTTTGTATTTTATAATTAATAAAGGAAAAAATAAGCTTTTAGTAGATGTCTTAGGGTCCAGAACTAAAATTTATGATTATAATAATATTAATTAATACCTAAAAAAACATTCCTTTGAAATATTCCATTTGTCAGAGGCTATAAGCAAAAAGGCATTCCATGAGCACAGTTCAGTTTGGGGGAAATTTCATAGGCTAATACTCATCGTTTCTCAGTTGACTAAAAGAAGGCTGGTCACCATGTTTCACAATTACAAATCCACATTCCCAACCAGTTTCAAATGGCTCTGGTGTCTTCCAATGCTACCTGGACCAAAAGTAGGATCCATAGAGACTGGGGAAAAGGGATTTCTACTCCATGATTCTTAACATGGTAAGAGTAAAAAGAAGTTTCATCCATCAATGCACATATTGTGAAATTAAATGTGGGCAATTTTCTACCTGATGCTGACCTTTCTGATGGCATTATCTACATGTTTCAATATTACTTCGAAGTCCACTGCATGGCAAACAGTCCTTCCTACATTGGATACTTGATAGAGTCTACTACTCTGCTTTAATCTAACTCTCAAACTTTAAGACTTGACTAATGAGATGATTTCAATCTCTCTGAATACCTGGTGATGTGCTGCCTACTTACTTGTCTTTATCTCTCTACACCTAGCATTACAGACACACTTGTTCATTGTGTCCAATGGTGTCCTTAAAGAAGTATTTGTTTAACCTAGTCTAGATTAATGTTGGCCAATTATCACACTATTTTTAGCAAGACCTAAATGGGGGAGGGGGAGAGAGAAGTTGGCAAAAAAAGTATAACTAAAAGATTAACATTGAAATAAGGAAAACAGTAAGGATTACCAGACAGGTAATGGAAACCAATAAAGCAGGCTAAAGCTAGTGTGAGGGTGGCAATTGGGAATGGTGGAGAATATAGCAAACCAGAGGGTATATGTTCTATCTAAATGGGGAATCTGTTCCTGCATGACTGGTGCCATGAGAGAATGAAAGTCCATTGCACCCCATTCTTCTTTTTTTTTTTTAAGAAAAAACAGAAATTTGTATTTTTGTGTGAAATCTCCGTATGTCTATAGGCTTACCACTAATTCAAAAAATATAATAATGTGCAGGCCAAACAAAATCCATGGTTCCCCAATATTTAGTTTAATTTAACCTCTATGTATGAATGAGTGTGTGTGTGTATGTGTGTGTGTGTTGCTTTAATTAGTTTAAGAATTTAATACTAAAGGCCAGATTCTGCATACCCACATTCTTTAAAAATTAAGCAAAATTAAGATTTAATGGTGGCCTGAAGAAGAACTTTAGTTCTTTGATTTGTTTATAAGATGACCAAAAAAAACTTTTGGAGGAAACATATCTTTGACTTTGAAGTTTATCATTTTTATCATTTTCAGATTACTCGGTAACGACATCATTGTTCTGCCTTTCATCCACTCATGGTCAGATGCACATCACAGAAAAATACTAAAAAGACAAATATGTGCAAGCACTTGATATATTGAATAAGAATAAGATGAGTGACACCAAATGAGACATAACTGAACTAATGAGGCATGATCTGTTTACAATATTCTTTGTGAGTTGTCAGGTTGCTACTTTAAGTGCTAGTTCTATTATTTTTAGCATATAAAAGCTATGTCTTGATTCATAGCTTTTGTGAAAATTACATTATACTACTTAGGAGAAGAAAAGAAAATTTGTCTCCAGCAGCTGCTGGAGACATGAGGATACTTATTATTGTTTATAATGAACTATGGTTATGTTAAAAATAAATGTCATACAGGCACTTCAGATGCTGAGGAATAGATAAACATATTTGAAAGCATAAATCCAGAGTGAGGTAAGTCTGGATCCTTGTTGCTTTTTAAAGAACAAAATGTAGCTTCACAGTTAATGAGAAACTCTAGTTTTCCAAATCTTCTGCTATTTTGTCTCCATCTTACAGTAGATTTTGTTTTTCAAAAAAAGGTGAGTTGCATTAATAGAAAGGCAAATGATCCTCATTTGCATAGGGATCCACCCTTTCTACTGCCCATTCCTCCCTCTCGTCCCCTCTCTCGTTTTTCCTTCCTTTCTAAAGTAAACCACATCCTTCCTTCTCAATAGAGATTTTCAAATAAAACTACATTTTTATTTTTTTTAATCATCTCTTTCCTTGCCCACGCTCTATTCTCCATAGGCAACAAGGACATCCAGTTTGAGGCTTCAGTCCCACCCAGTTCTATGACAATCCTGGCCAGAGTAGCATGTGAAGAACTTCAGTGGGCTGAGACCACATCAACACTAGTTTTAGTATTCAGTTAGCTAATACTAAATTTAGTATTTAGTATTCAGTTTAGTATTTAGTTTTTATTCCTGGGCATGAAAAGCATGTTCATCAAGTGATATGTAAAACCTTTCCAAACACCTGCCATTTCAACTAGACCACTGATAACTCTCCCATGGAGAGTGGTCTTTCTTCACCATTTCCCTGCAGCGGTTCTCAACCTGTGGGTCGCGAACAATGAAAATACATCCTGCATATTAGATGTTTACATTACGATTCATAACAGTAGCAAAATTACAGTTATGAAGTAGCAACGAAAATAATTTTATGGTTGGGGGTCACCACAACACGAGGAACTGTATTAAAGGGTCGCGGCATTAGGAAGGTTGAGAACCACTGCAAGGTAACCACTTAGTCACTCCTTACCCATCGAGTTGGCTTTTTGTTTGTTTTATTTTCTCAGTTTTGTTTTGTTTTGTTTTGTTTTGCTCTTTTTAAATACAACTATTGAGGAATAATTGACATACAATGTAAAGTTTCTCACATATCACTAATATTTCGTTCATTTTTTTTCCAATTTTCTCTGTGGCTTTCATTGTGAATAGTTTCTATTGTTTTTTCTTCAAGTTCATTAATATTTTCTTCCACAATACCTAATCTGCCATCAGTCATATATTTTTCATTTTATAAATTTCCATTTTCATCTCTAGAAATTGGATTTGAGTCTTGTATATCTTCCACGTCTCTACTTAATATGTTTAATCTTTTCCCTAGCTTCCTAAATATATGGAATACAGTTATAACAATTGTTTTAATTTCCTGTATATTAATTCTATAATCTGTATAATTTCTGGGTCAGTTACAATTGACTGATTTTTCTATTTGTTATAAAAAATAGAGCTAAAGCCTCTGTGGCTCCATGTCCCATGGTTTGGCCTTGTCATTATCATCATACGTTGATCTTTGATATGTCTCTAGTTTATAGTACTGATTCTGCTGCAGAAATCTTGTTACCCATTCCACATACAGCATCACATCAACCTGGGACTTGATTTGGGTTTGTTTATCCTTCCTTGGGAACTGTGTGTTTAGTATACTACTAGCACTAGCTAGTTTGCATGCTGCCAAGCTAATGCCTCCCTCTTCCTTTTCCTATGTTTCTCAATGAATGTACCCTACTAATCCACTGAAATATCTGCTACTATGCTTGACACTAATTGGCAATTGTCTGACTAGACTTTGACGTACAGACATTGTAGTGTTGTGGCTAAGAGTAAGTTGTAGAGCCTGACTGCTTAGGTTTGCATTCCTGCCCAGCCACTTAGCAGGCTCGACCTTGAGTAAATGATTGACTTCTCTATGATTCAATTTCCTCAACTGTAAAGATAATTATAATAATATATACCTTCTCCAGTTGTTGTGAGGTTTAAATGTGACAATATAATATAAAGAAATTAGAATAGTGTTGGGCTCAGAAATTAATTTTTGTTAGAGTACCAGGTATAGCCAGAATTTACACATGTGAATCTGACCCTGTGGATCACATTCCTAATCATGATGTGATATTCTAATACCTGTTGAACAATCTGTTTCACATATTGGAGAAATTTCCCTTCTGTACAGAGGCTGGGCTAGTTTTTCTGGTGCTTAAATGCCCTACTTCTGGTTTCAGCCCTAAGTACAAACCTACTGCCTATCCATCTAAACAAAAAACAGAAAGCGCACTTTCAGTGCTTTACAAGCCATCAATATCTTATCTCCTTAATTTTTCTTTTACAGTTCAATATTTTATATTTAGAAGATGGAGAAAAGGTTAGGAGTACACATAGACCATTAAATTTTTAATTATCAATCAAAATAGAGATAAAGAAATGAGTTCAATAATTACAGAGTAAAGCAGCAGCTTGTCTACAGAATAGGTACATGTTGAAGGCCAACATTTTGCTGTTTAAAATATCTAAGAATCACTACCAAACTAAGTGGGATATGTTTTCAAGCTTATTTCAGATGAGAAAAATTAATAACCATGTTGTAAACATAAATTTAAACACCTAATGAACATCTATCTAAGCAGTATGATTTGACTGTTCAGAAATTTTGAAACGAACATTTATTGTTTTGAGCTAAGTAATGTATGGGTATTACCTTTTCTGGAGGATTAATTTATATCCTTCCAGTGATGTTCCCTCAGTGGCCTTGACTCTGATTGGATGACCAATAGCTAGGCAGCCCTGAGTTATGGCTCGGCTCAAGATCATTCCAGTCTGCCAATGAATAGAGAGGGGAGACAGGTCTAAATAAGTTAAAAGAACCAGAAAATTCAACAATGTGTCACAAATAGTGAGGTCATTATGCCTGGATAACCCCGGATATTAACAGTTGCTGAAAGTGAAACACTACCCACAACTTAGCAGTCAGTGAGCCGTGCTCAGAATCAGTGAGCTTCCCTGTCCGACAAGGGTGGCATTTTATAGTTCAGCGCAAAATAAAACAGGGCTTGATATCTTCATTTGTCCTTCTTTTCTGTGCATATTTCACAGTGCAGCAATTGGGGGTCCATCACATGTCACTTCTTGTAGTTATAACTACAGAACTTCCTTGAAATATGCATGCACAGAAAAAAAAGTGCAGTGAACTGAAGATGGAAACAAATCCTTAACCTTCACACAACGTAAAGCCTTGCTCTGGGTCTAAATACCACGGGTTAAACATTTTAAGATGACTTGTGAGCTGCATTTGTTTTAAGGGTTGAAATTCTCTAATAAGGAAATTGATGGGAATATTGTTTGAATGTCCATGTAACAATTTTCTTAGTGAATCAACACAACATTTTAAATAAGTGACAACACCTGAGGAATTCATTTACACGTTTGAGAATATATGGCATGCAAAATTCTCTATTTTTACAGGTAAAAAATTTTACTTTTTAAAATAGCTCTAGCTGGTTTGGCTCAGTGGATAGAGTGTCAGCCTGCAGACTGAAGGATCCTGGCTTCCATTCTGGTCAAGGACATATGCCTGGGTTACAGGCTTTATTCCCAGTAGGGGGGGGGCGTGCAGGAGGCAGCTGATCAGTGATTCTCTCTCATCTTTGATGTTTCTTTCTCTCCTTCTCCCTTCCTCTCTGAAATCAATACAAATATATTTTAATTAATAAATAAATAAATAAATAAATAAAGGGGGAAAATATTCAATCTAAAAACATTTTCAAAATTGTTTTCTTTTTTGCATGTAACTTATTTCTCAAGGTTTTGTGGTGTGGGAAAGGAATATATGATGACTTAAGAAAATATTTATTTTTAATTTGGTTCTAATATAAGCACTGAATGGAATCCTCATTTGATAATGTTATAGAAAGGAAACAGCTAGGGATGAGAAAAAGAATCGCCGTTTATTAAGCACTTTCTATCTACCATGCTTGAACCTCAAACATGCCTTCTCATATGACTAACTTCATTTTATGGATGAGAAAACGGTGGCTCAGAGCAGCTAAGTAACTCTCCCCAGATATATATTTTGAATATCATAAACTTCTAGAAACAGATACCAGAGAATTACAAAATAGAAGATCTAGGAAAGAATCTTCCATATCTACGGGTCCAATTGGTGACACAGGTGTTCAGTGCAGTGCTAAAACTAAAACACTTCCCTCAAGCTCATAAATTGGTCAAATATAGAGCAGTGTCCTGTATTACAGTGAAAAGATATGTCTTGAATCCAGAGAGACCAAGAATCCTTCTTCTACCCTTACTAGACTCAGTTTTTTTCAGCTACATAATGAAAATCTGCAGTTTGTATAAGATTGAATGAGATAAGTGTGTATATAATGCCTAACATACAGCAGATGTTTAATAAAATGGCAGATATTATTATCAAATCAGACACAAAATACAACTTTAAAAGGGCTAGTACTTCAAGTCTCCAAGTTGGAAACAGATTTAAGAAATATCTCATCTAACCTCATTCTGCCTTGTTATGTAAAATGAATACTATTTCTTAGTACCTTTATGCCATAATTATTCTATATGTTTGTTTTGAACTCTCAGGGAAACTAAAAATAATAATTAAGGGCAATCTAAGATTTCACTAAGAAAATAGTTTTGAGCTCCTCTCCCCCACCCCAAACTAAGTAGCAGCAAACTTCCCTGGACTACTCTGCACCCACAGAAGTACTAAGAGGAAGCAAAATTAATCTATAGTGAGGGATGGAGGAAGGGTAGATACGGGCTGTGCCATGTCTTTCCAGACATAAATATTTGGTAGCAATTACAAGACATATTTTAATAGTAAGATAGAAGGGGGGGTGATTATACGCTCTCAATTTAAATCAGATCCAAAAGTAAAATAATAAAGCAAAAAATTAGTGCTAACACACAGGTATAAATCTGTTAGGCATTATTCACATTTTGTACTCAGGGATTTCTTCTAAAACTGTCCTTACAAAGACCGCATGCTGTCATTATATGGTGCTAATCCACCAGACTCCACAAAGCACAATAGTGAAGACTGCGAGTGGAAGCAAATGACATTCAGACAAATCTCAGGAAATGGCAAGTCTATGGACTATACATAAGCTCTATGCTGGGTGCAGATATACTCTGGAGTATGAACAAATCAGCGCATCTAAAAGTGGACTGAATGCTCAGAGGGGGGTCTACAGCATTCCTCTGTAATAGACAACCCAAGTGCAGAGAAAGAGCATTTATTAAGGCCAGCAATTGAGCACACTTTCACTTGCATGCTGGTGTGCATGAGGACCAGGTGAGCACATGGTAAGCCAGCCAGCACAGGAGGTCACTCAGGGACAACAGACACTCTCAGGTACCTTCATGATCAGCCACACACTGGCTGCAGGCCACGGGGTCGATGGCACCATCTGACATCTGCTGCTCTCTTCACTACCTGAGGAACCCCACTTTCCAATGGAAACCGAGGCATGAAGGACAATACTGGAATCCACCTGTACCATGAGAACAAGTATGCGTTTTTAACAGATTCTGAAGGTTAACCTTCCTCAATACACTTACCCAAAATAAGTTATCCTGGAACATCATGTTTCCAATTGAGAAGGGCTCTTTTGAAACAGCAGTGCTCAATCCCACTTGATTCAATTCAATTGATAGTTGTTGAGCACCGGTACTGATAGGCAGGGCCCCAGACTGTGTGGTGCATGATATTGTAAAATACAGGGTAGGATAAAAGGTTTACAGTTGTTCATATGGAAAATAATATAATAATAAATAATAATGCATGAATAAACTCTGTGTTTCATGTACTCACAAATGTAAAATTACTTTTGCCTCACCTGTATTTTTCCTGCCCTAAAGAAACTCACAACAGTAGAGGCAATAATACACACACACACACACACACACACACACACACACACAATTTCATGTTAAGCTCCATATGGATGAATAAATAGTACTCTAGTATTCAAAGAATGGTAGGGGTCATTTCTACTGGAGCAACAAAAAGTGGAGTGTCTTGAAAGAAGTAACATCTGGACTGGACCTTAAAGGATAAAGACAGATTGACAGGAATAATAAAGAATATAAAGATATTCCAAGTAAAGGCAAGGATGTATAATCAACATATCTTGGGATTTTTTGATAGGCTCAAAAAATAAACTTGGCCAAACTGTAGAAGGTGTCCAGTGTAAGGCTAAGGAGTTAGACCTTGGTAGGGAACCAGTGAACCCTTTTAAGCAGGAGGGACTGGATTATAGCAAATACTAGTAGGTTGATATGGCAAAGGGTAGACATAATGGATTGCAGAATGGAAATATCAAAGGCAAGGAGAACAGTTGGGAGCCCACATAACCTCCTAAGAATAAAAGGTTATGAGCTGAGACTTTAGTGATAGTTGTGCAAAAGGACAGGAGGGGACTGATTGGGGAGACAGTGCAACTGTGTTTATCAGACTACATAGGTCAAAGGTATTGTGCACCTTCTACCTTTTCTCACTTAGACTTGATTCTCAAATTAATAGGTATTTGTATCACCTGTAGGGATTCTATTCAAATTTAACACTTTATCTCCTAACTTACATGCTCACTTTCTCTGAGTAATCATGCTAAGTTTGTAAGTACAAGTATTTATTTGTATAGGATTATGGGAATATGACTTTCTGCTTTAAACCCAATAAGTGATGTTGCTTCAATAACAATCAAAATTATTTTCTAATACTAAAAAGTGTAAGTTGGTACTAATACTAGCTATTTGTTGGGTGGCAAATGACTTCTTAAAATACAAAAATTAAATTATAATTTAAAAGATAAACATTTTCAAGTGTGATCAGGCGATAACAAAAGGGTAGAGCTAATATATTTGGTAATTATTCTATAATGGAAGAGCATTACTTCTCAAAAGAAGAAAATGTTACATGACCCCTGTATGTGAAAATAAAATTTTAGGGATACAGCAACCCCACCACGTAAGCAGATTTGACTTATAGCTCTTTGATTGTGTATTCCCCAGCTAGCCAATTGTGGCTGGATTCAAGAGGGGAATCGCCCGCAGTCTCTCAACAATGATAAACCATATTCTACTAATCCATCCACCGCAGGACTCAGCATTTAAAGTAACACTCTTACTCCACCTCCTAACTTCAAGTTGCCATCACACTCAAAACTCTCCCCTGCAACTGGGAAGAAGATTGTTTTGACTGGAATTAGTCAGACAGAAGGAACACACTGCCAACTGCTTCTTTGTACAGCACCTGCTGCCAGCGCCTAAATTCTTGTTATCTCCACAACATGGTTTAATCTTTTAACAGTTGGCTTATTGGTGAAGAGCAGAGGGGTCCTTTGTGTCTGTCTTGGGTTGGCACCCAGTACCAACACCATGCTGTTCTTTGAGAGATATTTTGCTGGACAGTTCCCAAGTGATTCTACATAGACGAGACACAGTCAGGGCCACTAACTCAGCTGCATTTCGTGTTATAGAGAAAAAAAATCCTGCCAAGTCTGAGGACACCTAAAACTGACAATGGCCATTAAAATTCTCTTCATGACTTCACCTTCTTTTTTTCTTTTTAATTTAATCTAGTTGCTTAGCTTTAGAAAAAATATTTGTGAAGGTGGGGAAGATAAAAAAAAAACCTGTGAAAATTGGAATTCTGAAAAACAAAAATGCTCTAACATAATATACTCTGTATGTGTGTGTAGGTGTGAGCCTGTGCACACATGTGTGCATGTACAGGTGTGTGTGAAAAAGCATCTATGTTGAGACTGATTTCTAAATCCATGCCATCAGATATGCCATTAGAAAATCCTTTTAAATCCTATTAAGAAACACAGGAAATTCTCTCTTATTCTTTTGAATACCATTTCCCTTTAAATGACCACTATGATATTGCTTGCCTGAATAAGCTGTGCTGATAGAGAAGCTGCCATTGATAAAAATGAAGTGTACACATGCTGGGCCAGTTAAAACTTATTTAATTTTATTTTCCCAAATCACTAATGAAAGTGGAGTAGCCTTCAATATTCCTGTTCAAAATTCTAAACATAGGGAACCGCTTGTCTTGTCTTACAGATCTATTGAGGATCAAAATACAAAACAATAAAAGTTTTCTTGAAAGGAGAAGCTCATAAGTCAATCGCAATCTCCATTCCAAACAAGTTGTTTGCTATGTAGAAATCTTATACTTTTTCTAGAGAATTTAGGGCCAAGTCAAATAATTTGATATATAAATTAAAATCACAACTATACGAAATGTTCTAAAATCTCTTTCTTCCTGTCTCTGATGTTCACTCCTATTGTTTCCATTCTCTGATCAATCCACCCCACTCCAAAGAGGAAAACTGAAACAGTTTGAAAGCAGAAAATATCAGTGAGCACATAATGATGCAAACAAATAAAGCAACTTTAAGATCTAGGTAAACAATCTCTAAATAGCCTCTAACTATTGATCTAAAAATATGAAAGGGACTTGGGGTTTTATTTAAAGTCCTGTATCCTATCCTAACAGCAATCAGTTCAAATTTTAAATTAAAATTTTGTATTTTCCACAATACGAATTATTTGTAGAAAATATTGTTTCTGACTGACTTGCTCTCCAAAGAAACAGGACAGTAAAGACTTCTTTGCCTTTCCCAGCCTCCTTTGTGCAATACAGAATAATATATTCTGCTAGTATCCATGACTGCTGAATTCACTAGTTAACTTGTAATAACCATGCCATGATTCAAAAATTACAACTTGGTATTTTCTTGCCGTTTTCATACTGAAAGTTGTCACTAATATCCTGATGATGTCTGATCATACTGAACGGCTAGGATCAAAATATATTTTCTTTTCCTTTTGCAAACTATATGGCCTGCCAAACACTGAAGTGTCCATTTTTCTGCAATATTTTCCCATAACCAGGCATATGATTTTTTCTTTTACATTATCTAACGTGAAGTTTAAACTTCATCCGTTTTATGGAAACATAATTTTATTGCCCTTTAATTGGGGCAATCTAAAAATGCTGCCAATCTAAGTAACAATACAGAACTGTTGAAAGATGTATTTGCCAAATAGTTCATTGTATTAGACTCCAAATCTTCTTTAGAAATGGATAAAAGAGCAACAGGTTGTAATTGTCAGGGTTATATCTGTCTCCCACCTTACTAATAGGGATTATATGTTCCAAATTTCTCTCTGTGGGAAAGGGTTTACTTGTCAATAAGAGATTTGAACAAACAGTAAGGGGTTGGGCACTGATATCTCTATCTCAGGCCAATTTCAAAACATACCCACCAAGAATATTGGCTTTTGCCTCCCTCCTCTCTACCCATGTTTTAATCCTCTTAGTATCTTCTTTACTGCAATGAGCATCATGATTCTACCATAAAATGCCCTACAGGTAACCATCACCTCTGCTTGAATCTCTCTTTAAAAGTGCTCTTTTTTTAAGTTATTAAATTTCTATTTCCAATGCACTGATCACCTCTCTGTATATAATCAGAGACATTATTCTGAAAGGATTTAAAAAGGTTTCATAACTAAGAGAAGGCCGTTTTTCTTTGAAAGCTTCTCTTTACTTGTCAGGTTATCAAACTTTTGTTTTCTTATAATACTGTTTTGGTTGGATTGTAATTTTATTCAAAACCAATTTCTTCTTCCAAAAATACAATAGTGTACAAACCTTTATTTAAGATGAGTGCTTTCTCACTTTCGCTGAATCACTAGAACCAATTAATCATGATGCAATGACTTTGGATTGTAATTGTATCATTTTTCAACATTAGAAAATACAGTTTTCTTTTATAGTACTTTGACTTAAAATCAAAGAGAGAAGCCACCTTGGGGTTCTTTTCCTGTAACAACTCTTTAAAATTCCATTTTCTTTCAGGTTTGAGCTGGCTTCTGTTGAATGAGTTAATTCACTAGTGAATTCAATTCCATTGAGCTAACTCTGGGTATTTAGAGATTACAGCAGAGACAGGAGGATCAGGATGTCCTCTGGTGCAAAGGAATTTCTAATCTAGCAACAAGGGTAAGTAAGACAAGGACCTCCTGGATTATCTTCCTAACACAAGGATCAAATCAGATCTTGCCTCTGCTTCATGTTTCCAATGGATCCTTGTTTTCTACAGAACATCCAGAATCCCTAACATCAAATTAAGACCCTTTACAATCTGATCTCAACATCCTCAGTGGAATCTACCATTCTTCCCTTTCTACCCCAATGTGACCTGAAATAGGCCTAAACTTGGAGCACTAATTGACTTCAAATAATGTAACGACGATGACAAAGTTGTAAGAGGGAACAGCATCAAGTTCATTGTGACTATAAATGGCACAGAATTGATGCAATGGGGTTATCAAGGCCAGAGAGATCCTATCTGGTTTGGGGGGGGGGGTAAAGAAGATTTTATGAAGCTGGTACAGATCAGATAAGGTTAGAATGATGGGCAGGATTTCAACAAGCATTTGTTGAATGCCAACTATATGTCAGACATCGTGCTAGGATATGGCACAAGGGTGAAAGAGAAGGCTGGGGTTGGTGGCAAAGAAAGAGAGGTTGAATTCCAAGCAGAGGGTTCCACATGGACATAATAACAGAAATCATGGAGTGCTTTCAGAAAACAACAAAGGAACAATCTGGCTTGGCTAACACACACATATTAGACAATAGAGAGCCTTGTAAGATAAGTCACAGCTAAATTTTAAAAATCCTTCATCAAAAATATATTGTGCACTTGCCCTACAGTCAAGACTTCGTGCCAGTACTCCAGAATACAAAGATGAATGAGACACATCTAAGGAATTCTCAATTTCAGGGAGGAGAAAGGCACAAAAGCAAATAAATGCCAATACCAAAACACAAGATCTAAGAACAATTTTCAAAGGAGTTCTGAGAATACAAAGTAATTTGAGGTTAATTCTCTCTGGAGGATCTGAAAAGGCTTTATGGAAGAAGAGGAAGTTGAATAAGGCCTTAAGGCAAACACACACACACACACACACACACACACACACACACACACACAGTAATGCCACATGCCATGGCATAAGTATACCAAAGTGAAAAGCATGTTGTGGGACACAATTTATTAGCTCTGACTGTAGTGTATGAAGAAGTTCAAGAAGAGAAGATTGGAAAGGCAGGGGAAGACTGAAGGAGAATCATGGGGTTCACTGAAGGCCAGATGAGGATATACAACTTTAGTAGGCAACAGCCAAGCACACAAGTTTTTGAGCAGGAAAATAATTTTACAGCAAAAACCTACTAGTAAAAAGGAGCCCTAGCCAGTTTGACTCAATGGATAGAGTGTCAGCCTGTGGACCAAAGGGTCCCAGGTTTGATTCTGGTCAAAGACACATACTTTGGTTGCAGGCTCCTCCCTCGCAACCAATCGATGTGTTTTTCTCACATTGATATTTCTCTCTGTCTTTCCCTTTCTCTCCCACTCTCCCTAAATACCAATGAAAAAATAGCCTCGGGTGAGGATTTAAAAAAGAAAGAAAGAAAGAAAAAGAACTGGCAACTGGATCAGAACTATGGTAAATAAATCTAAATGTCAGGTGAATAAAAAATATAAAAGGCATTAATTCTTGGCACACCATTCAACCTACATTTATTTTCTAAAGTTGCTCAAGAACAGACAGGCTTTGCCGAACCGGTTTGGCTCAGTGGCTAGAGCGTCAGTCTGCGGACTGAAGGGTCCCAGGTTTGATTCCGGTCAAGGGCATGTACCTTGGTTGCGGGCACATCCCTAGTGGGGGGCGGGCAGGAGGCAGCTGATCAATCTCTCTCATCAATGTTTCTGGCTCTCTATCCCTCTCCCTTCTTCTCTGTAAAAAATCAATAAAATATTTTTTAAAAAAGAACAGAGAGGCTTAGAAATAATTATTGATTTTATTTTATTTTTTGTAATTATATTATTTAGATTTATATGCACCTTGAAACAACTAATATTCTCAATATAAGTTCTGACATAATAACATGAATGGGCAACATGGAGAAATTAAAAATATTAGTTTGGGACAATGTATTCTTACACTGTGTCTTGGAAATAGAGGGCCCAGACCAGTGAACAGGAAGTGCTACTTTCTTTGGGCATCTTCATCTCTGTGGGTGCCTTTTGGTTTTGAATTCACAAACTAAAGCTTAGATAGTTGAAGTGAACAACTCTACATAGTTTCCCAGGTGAGAAAAACAAAAAAAAGTATTCCTTTTTAAAAGACATGTTTTAAGTGCCTTTAATAGCTCAGTTGGAGAACAAAATTCTTTACTGGCAGAATACCTAAGTGCAAATTAATCCACAGACCTTCTGGATTGGCTTGCCATGAATTGGGTTTTCTGAAGAACTCATGTTCCTTAGATACATTAACCCACAGAGCAAGCAGATCAGATCCTAAAGTATACACTGCCATCTGCATGACTTTCTCAAGTAACTCAAACTTACTATAATATAGTAGGTCTAGAGGAAATATGCCAAAAACAGTACTTGAATGACATCTTTCAGGTCGAATTTTTTTCAAGCAGAAATGCTATATATTGACTCAGTTTTAAAGGGCTTAATAATAGGAAGTAAAGAATAATGCCCCACCACTTGTAGAATAATTCATAGTTTTCAAAACGTTCACCAATATCCACTCAGTCACCATGTATTGACTGAAAATCCAACACATAAAATACCCACATTAATTACAACATATAATTCTGACCTTGTTCTGTAGAAAATGGTCCTCCAAGTCCACCTTTTCAAATTGATCAGGTATCTGTTGACTGTTGGCATTAAAATTCACTGGAAATCCCTCACAAACTTCCCAACTAAAAAAAGTGAAACATTTGATTATTTTTTCTAGAATAAAATATATTTATTTATAATACTCTTTAAGATACTAGTATAATAATTTATGCATTTTATACTCCACTAGTACGAGAAAACTCAATGTATAATTTTAAAAAAAAATTTGTAAAGTGCTTTGGTATCAATAAATGGGAAAAGTAAAGTTTTACATTTTTACCTTGCAATTATTTATGACAGTGGGGGATTCCATGCCTAATTAATTATTAATAGAACAAAGAAACAAAAAAACGGCTTTTATTCTTAAAGAATCACTCATAGTTGAGGCCATCTTCATGGTTACATTTATATTCTAAATAAAATGGAGTATGAATAATACAGGATGTTTTTATACTTATGATAGTTGTGCTAAGCACGAGTTTGTTATTTTTAAGAACATCCTAAGAAGCAGCACAGTCTAGTAGGTACATGGACACACCACAAACTGGAGGTGTTGAATGCCATTCTAATTCAACCAAATCATTTGTTTTAAAAGTGAGCAAATCCCTACTCTAAAGAAAATTACTTGGCTCAACATTGATATGTTAAGACATATCCTAGAACATGCTGCTATTCAACAGGTTGTGGGCTGGTAATAGTATTTTTTTCAATACTCTGAGAAATACAAGTAAGAATATGATCATTAGGATTTCAAATGATACACTTTAGAGTACAGAAAGAAAATTCAAATGGAATCCAAATATTAAGGAAATTATCTTTAAATTAGTTCAATAAGGGCAGGCAGTTTCATATTTTTGTTCTTAAGGAGCTAAATCTAATTTGAATCCACTCACTAAAACAATATTTATTGCACCTGGGAAGTAAAATTAAGAAGGAATACATGAATTTAAAATTAAACTCCTAGCTAAAAATTGAAGGGTCGAGGCAAATGTAACAGCTTGGAGAAAGATCATTGCACATGAAATTCATCTCATAAATGGAAATGCCTATTTAAAAAAAAAGAATGCTGATGAGTTATTTCTATCCATAAAGAAACAGAACAGGACAAAAGAGATTCAAATCTTGCCTAATACATGGCAGGCAGTCATTGGGGGAAGAGTTGGTCTTCATGGACATATGTAGCAATAGGTTGACTTTAGACCAGTGATGGCAAACCTTTTGAGCTCGGTGTATCAGCATTTTGAAAAACCCTAACTTAACTCTGGTGCCGTGTCACAAATAGAAATTTTTTGATATTTGCAACCATAGTAAAACAAAGACTTATATTTTTGATATTTATTTTATATATTTAAATGCCATGTAACAAAGAAAAATCAACCAAAAAATGAGTTCGCGTGTCACCTCTGACACGCGTGTCATAGGTTCACCATCACTGCTCTAGACTGTGACCTCATCAGACTGCCTTTGGTTTTGTGGATCTACCCTCTACTTCAGTCTTTTCACTTACATCTTAAGGAAAGTTGTGATTTGTTAAATTATAAAATATTAAAGCTAGATAGGACCTTACAGATAGGTCACATTACCCAACATAGTATCAGTTTTCTGCCTTGATGTCCAATACAGTAGCCACTAGCCACATATTCCTATTTTAATTAAAATGCATTTAATTTAAACAAAATTAAAAATTCAGTTCCTCAGTCACATTAGTTAGACATCAAGTTCTCAATAGTCACAAAGTATGGTTTCATCATCACAGAAAATTCTGTTAGACAGTGCAGGATAGTGTTTAAACCCCTCAGTTCTTAAGAAAGACAGTCTGGGTTAGAATTTGGGATCTATCTTGTACCAGTTGTGTGACTGGGCAAATTCCTTTGCCCTTCTGTGCCTCGGTTTCTGTCTCTATAAAATGAAGTAATAACGGGATAACATGTAATGATGTGATCAAAATAATTGTCTTGAGGATTAGATTATTTCTACCCAATTCATTTAAAACTGTGCACTCAGGGAATGCTGGGTTTTATCTTTTTACAGGCAAGACAGACACCCATCTGCCCATGGACAATTATAAGTGGATATGAGACAAGATGCCCAAACCTCTACCTCCTGCTCTTCTTCTCACTATCCCAACAAGCCTCCAGCATATTGCTTTGTTTTTCATTTATCATCAAATGAGATCCTTAAATATGAACACATGTATAAACATATTATATAAGAATTTAATGATTCCATGCAAATATTAGAATGGAAGCACTAAAAAAGCTTTTTCATTTCAAATAAAATTATCACATCTGCAAAGCTGAAACTATAATCTGCTCACTGGCCCATACGTTTTTTTAAAACTCAAGGAAAGTTAATGATGTTAATGATTAAGTCTTTTAGGCATTAGCTCATTATATCATGAAATAAGTCAATAAAATAAATAATTGTTTATGTAAGATGATTCAAAGAACATCTTTTACTGTTTTAATCTCTCACTCTGGAAAATCTGAATTTAGATGATTCAGATTAATCTAACCAAGCACACATTAATTTACTTGTCACATCCAGGTAGCAGAACAGCTTTGGGATCCAAGAAGGTTTTATATGCAATTGTAATGCCACCTCTGGCAAATGCAGTCACCTGGTCAAAGGTCAAACTCAAAACAGGGTTCCATGGAGATCTGAAAAATGAAAAAAAAAATCAAAGCTATCTGCAAAATTATGCAAACACTGAAATTTGAGCACAAATAAATACTAAAACATAAAATATCAGTGTCTAATAAAAATCCAAAAATCTTAAATGCACATTTTACTTTATTTGGCTGATTTATAATATGCCAAGGATAGTTGTAACACATAATATTTTTAAAAATAATTTAAACAATAAAAGTAAAATATTTAGTGGAGAAAAACAACCATTTTTTCATATAGTGTTCATTTTGTAATAACTATATCCTGTATAACTAAATGATGTTCATCAATGTGTAGCTACAATGCAATACACCAATAATAATCTTTGGATCTGATATTTAAATAAATCCTTAATATTTGATTAAAAACAACCTTTTTTCTTTATGGGCTAACTAAATGTTCTGCTAATTTGTTTTTTATTTTACATACTGTTAGGAACATTTTTAGGTTAATTTAATTATTTGAGAATAAAATAGAAAAAGACTCATAGACAGAGAGCAGGCAGCCAGCTCTGGTGGGGGAGTGTCAGAAGGAGGGTGAAGGGATTGAGCAAAAAAGAAGAAAAAGGGGAAAGAACTCATAGACACAAAAAACAGTGTGGTGATGGGGCGGGGGGAGGTGAAAGAGGATATATGGGGATAAATGGTGATTGAAATAAAATAAAGAAAAAAATAAATCAGATGGAAAACAGATCTTAAAAATAAGAATGGCCACTATGTTAAATATAAGATTTTTTTTCTAAATTGATGACAAAAACTTGCTATTTAACTTTATAATTATATGACTCAACCATATCACCTGTATAGTATAATAAAAAATACTTGAACTGAATCTAATCATGAGAAAACACTCAGAAAAATCCAGAATATGGGACATTCCACAAGAAAAGTGCTGAACTCTTTTAAAAAAAAATCAATGTCATGAAAAACAAAATAAAAGGTGGAGGAATATTCTAGATTGAAGAGAACTAAAGAAAATAACTAAGTGCAATACATGAAGCTTATTTGGATCCCAGGTTACAAATAGCTCTAAAGCGCATTTTGGGTAATTTGAATATAATCTGTATATTAGGTGATATCACATTATTGTTGACTATGTTAGATATTATAATGTGGTGATATAGAAGAATAATTCTAATTCTTCAGTTATGTGACCTAAAGCAGTTAAGAGTAAAACTTTAATGATTGTCTAAAATTAATTTCTAACCATTCAAAAGAGAGAGAAGGGAGATTTTTTAAAAAAGCGGTAAAATAAATGTGGCAAACTCTAAATTGTTGAGCCTTGGTGAAGGATATATAGATATTCATTGTATTATCATTTCAAGTTGTCTGTAGATTTGACATTTTTCTAAATAAAAATTGGGAGAAAATAATTAAAGGACTCAAAATTGAAGCAGATATTGGCAATATCGTCTTTCATAAATTGGTAACCTGATCCCCCATATCAACATATACTAGGCAAGTTAGAATTACTCCCTAAAAATGATTATCATGTACTTAGTACACATTGCACATTTTCTCAATATATTTTAAATTGGGATGGAAATAACTTTTTAGACATAAATTTTAGAAATCCCAATAATAGCAAATGCATAATGGTTTCCAAGTGCCTCATACTAGATTCAAAACCAGAAAAAGAATACATTATCCTATTAAAATAACAATAATGAACAAATAAATATATAGACTATGGATTCCTCCAGCTATAATCCTCAGTTGATTTTGGAGTTATTTCAAATATACTTAGCGTTTCTATTAGTTATTCCACTAATATGATACAAATAACCAAAAACAAGTGTTTGAGCTTATTAAAATCCAGTAGTATAGCAAACATTAATAAAAACATCAAAATTAGTCAGTCATTGCTTTCATTTTAACAATGATATTTACGAAGAGATTACTAGCCAAACATTTTAGTTAAAAAAATTTTCCTTGTCATAAAATTCGTTGCTGTTTGTATCATGCAAAAACCATTTTCACGGTGCAATTAAAATGTATTTTGAAATCTGCCTTTGGGGAAAAAACACCATTCCTTACAGATATTTTGAGTTTTATAAATTACACACCATTAGAAATTATTAAGTATTTTAATTTTATTCTACTAGGATAGGTGAAATAGAATTTTGTAGTATATTACCAACACTAATCCTCCCAACTTCTTCCAAAACCATCATGGACTTCTGAGTACATTTATTTCCATACTTAAAATTTTGACTATTAGAATATAGTCAAATCGAATTAGCTTCTAGCTCTGTCCAGGTTATTTTCATTATAATTATGATCAATTATACTCTATAAGCAAAATTATTTTCCCCATGTCTTCTATTGTGTTCTACAAATAAAGAGCTAAAAAAAAATTAAGAGAAGGCAGAAAAGTGTATTAAGTTTCCTGACAAGCAGTTTCAGAGTTCATCTGGATGTATTCTGTCAAAATATGCATAAATCTCCAAGACAGTCCACACACAGCCCAGCTCATCAGTGCCTGCAGACTGCAGCCTTTTTCTTTCCTCAGAAACACAAATAATTGTATGCAGGAATTTACCAATCTACAAAAATTTACACAACACTTCGCAATAACCAGTAATTATTGTGGGATAATATAAGGCGCCTTTGAGAAATACAACTTTGATACGATAGAGCTTACGAGCTTTACCAATTTATCTCTAGCTGTTCTGTCATTGGTGCTTAAAAGGTTAAGACTTTATTTGTGAAAACAGAGAGATAGTAGGGAATCATGTTGTCTACAGCTTCATAAATCTTGCTTAAAATCCTTTTCAATTACCATCCATTTCTCCTTTAAAAAAGGACAAAAAATAGAGGAGTGGAAGCAGGTCAGGGCAGTGTGCGACAATGACAGTGTGATGGGCTTGGGCCCCCTGTGGCGTTTCCATCTGCTATCATTAAGGTGACTACTCAGACATGAACAAATCCCACTTGCTGTGCTGACAGGCAGACTTCAAGAACTATGACAAGGCATTAAGACAGAAAAGTCAGAGAGAGACAGCGAGAGACAGTGAGAGAGAGAGAGAGAGAGAGAGAGAGAGAGAGAGAGAGAGAGGGAGATAGAAAGAGAAAGAGAGATAGAGATGACAAATTTCACAAACAATACTGCCTCACAAAAAAAGCACATTTTATTGGAATTCAAAATTTTAAAAAAATTTCATAAATGGTGCTCTTGGCTTCTCAACTCTCCTTTTAAATTCGTTTGCCCCAGAAGAGACTGAGGACAGACAGAAGAAACACCTCACTCCTACCTGTACGCTTTACCATAAGAGACCCAAATTTTTTGCTCATTCTTCAGCAAAAGTGGATTCTTAATTTCTTGACCATGCTCATCGAAAAGCCGTGTTGAAGAAAAATTGAGGCCTGGTGGGTTGATGGAAGATCCTTGAAGCCTTTGATGAATCCTGAGAAGTAACTGGTGGTGGGGGAAAATAAGGAAGAAGAAGAAAGATTTACATAAATTGTGAACATCTGTAATAAACTGTCTTTACTCTGTACCAAATGAAGTCCAAACAAATGATAATTAAATTCATATAGAATGCTATAAGAAGTGTGAAATGATGGCAGTGTTTAGCTCAAAGGAAAGTAACAAAATGAGCATGGGCTTTTAACCAGCAGGGGGTGCCACAGGCTTGTGATTGAGCTCTGACCCTTTGGCGCTGGGACTGAAAGCAGATGTGACAGTTTTACAGGAAGAGCGTTTAGCTTCTACACATGGTAACAGTCCTCTTTGATGAGGGTTATGCTTTTCTTGTGGGAGCTACACATTCTCTTAGGGCCCTTGCAGAGCATGTTCAGGTTTTACAATGGGTGGTCTCCCCATCCCCACTAACCTGAGATAACCAATGGTCGAGCAATTCACCATCTACCAGATTGCAAAAATAAACATGACTTTCAACCCAGGTTGCTTCAGAAGGACTCTCTTCCTGGCTGTATTTTAATGAAGGGCCCTGCAAATGCTTGTGAGCCTCTTCAATAAGAGACGTTTTCAAGTTGTAAATAAGATATAACTGAAGTGTGAAGTATGAAATGCTGTCATTTAATAATTTAAGTACAAGCATTGTCAGTGTTTGCATCTACCTTACCTTTAGGGTCTCTGGATTATCAAAATATTTCTAATTTAAGGCATATTTCAAATGCAAGTAAATACAACAGAACTGGGTTGCAGATGGCATTTTAAAAGACTTTTTCATTATTTTCAGTTACCTTTGAGTGTTTAGGCCTCTACTCTTTCCCACTCTGTGCCCCACACTATCCATCATTCTGTTCTCCCACCCTCCCATCCTCCCACCACCCCCCGCCCCAGCCTAGCCTTCTATCACAGGCTTCCTTTTCTTCTCTCCCTTGTGAGTTCCCGTGTCTCTCAATTTCTTGTTACTCTGTAATCTTGGCAGGGATGCAGATATAGCTGTGGACTTTCCTTGCCTAGCTCTGTTTAGGGTGCCTCTTTCACTCCTTCTATTAATTTCCATGGAGGTATATTGGGATGTGTTAAATGCCAAGGCTCAAAGGAAAGAAGAGAAAGTTGCAATCTTGTCATATATGCCAGTTTCCTCTCCTATTGGTTCTAAACTCTTGACTGAGTAAAATATTTTCTTTGATCAGCAACTATATTTGTAGAATACCTAAGAATTAGGCTTTGTCCTAATTAGAGATAAATAATTATATCTCTAATTTTATCAGCTCTACATTGTTTTCAAAAGCTCTATATTGACCAGATTTTCAGCATCAGAAAGGCTGAAAATGATAACACATTTTTTATTTCAATAAAGTTAATACTTCTCACACAGTATCGTCAAATCCTTTGAATTACAAGTAATAGCTACTATTTTCTTTAGGGCTATAATAGGCAAAGATGTTAGAATTGTAAGAGTTTGCATTTTTTTACTGGAATCACAAACATGTATTGAAAATCTATATATTGAATTCACAAAACCCTACATATATTTCTGTGCAGTCTCAGCCATTGAGCTTATTTTTTGTTGCCTTGCTATTATGTTGGAAAAGCAAGCAATGCTGATCATTGTTAAAATCACAGTGATTTTGTTTTATAGTCATCGCCTTTTTTGTAAAAGGGAACGATTTCTAGTCCAGGAGAGAAATGTGTACACCAAGAACGGGAATGTGTGGTGGGAAAGCATGTGAATGCCTGACCACAAAACAAAAAACACTTTCACTGGAGTTGCATCTCAATCTCCATTTTCTCAACTTGGTGACAGACTGCATTTTAGGGTTTTAAAGATAAGCATCCCACAGCTTCCAGGAGGTAGGGCCTCAGTGCCTTTCATCTCAAGGTAGTTGGTTAAGGCTGGAATGCAGTGACCAAATATATGTGATATTCGTCACCCGTTTATCTTTAAAACTATCATCACCAGGACTTTATAGGATAAGAATTTGTTCAGGAACCTGAGAAGAGTATGAAACAGTTTAGGCTCGTGACTGAGACAAGTGTGCACCAAGGAAACAGACATCCTTGAATGTCACCAGGGATCTCCCAAAGAGCTTTGCCGAGTTCCTAATTCAAGTTTCCCCCGGCCCCCCAAGATTAACTTGCATATTATAGAAGCAAAGAACAGTCCATTTCAATGTGTCACAAGCCAACTCAAAAAATTCCTACAGAGTATTAGCTTCCTATATAAAATAATACAAATGCCATCTTTAATTTAATATGAACCAAAGAGTAAAGTATCCTAATGTGAAAATGGGGGGAGGGGGGTGACAAGTAGATAATTCTAGGAAAACTTTCATATCATGGTAGTTTTAAATAGTCAGAGATGTGATGGTAAAAAGAAACCAGCCAAGACTCTTGACCCTTCTCTCTCTAATTAATGAAGGTAGCATTTCCCTTCTCTTCTGGGCCAAACTAATGATCAGATAAGAGTCTTCTAATTTTATGCAACTTTAGTGGCTAACCATAAAAGCCAGGTAATAGATACCACCAGGGAGAGACAAGTCAGAGGGTGCTGAACTCAATAGGGGGGAGGAAGAAGCAAGTTCCAAACAAAAGCCAAGCCACAGAGCCCCAAACACTGGTGTGCGCTGGGGCGCATAACCCCAATTTGTAAACAACAGGGGTATTCAGTGTCTTTTTATGCAAGACAAAGACCCCAAATAAAGGTCCTGAATATGTTGACTCTGCCTGAGAAACATCCCAATGGTCTGGAAAATAAAGGTAAGAGTGTCTAAGAAAAACTATTTGGACTTGCCCACAATGAGCATAGGAGATCAAAGCTTCATGTTAGTCGCTCAGGGTCTTGGGCTTGGGAACACCCTAAATCCAGAACATACCCTCCACTGAATATCATGTCACTTCTTTTCAAAGTGTAAACAAGAGGGCAATCCCAGAGTCCAGTGTAGACAGATTTCCAAATACAAGCATAATGAAGGTTAAGATGCTGTTAAATAAGCGGCCCCGAGTTGATTAACAGAGAGCCAAAGGAATTCAGAAGTCAATCTTAAGATTATCAATCTTTACAGACCAGCAAATGACTGATCTTTTCTAAATAACTTTAAAGATGTGATTATCTAAATTAATGACAAGTAGCTTGGAAGACACTTAGAATCATAAATGAACAGTCGGTAAACTCACTTTTTCCATCATATCACCAGTTTGGTTTGGGCTATTAGACACCAAATCTTTTTGGCTGATACAGATAGAGATCTCTCCAGTGTCTTTACCATTTTCAAGTACCTGAAAAATAAGTACATTCAAAAATATAAATAAATACATGTACACACACATACGTACATATATTCATACATACATATATAAACACAAACGGTCCTGGCTTTGCACAACAGGGGGTTGAATGAAAGTCATGGGTACAGGAACTGTGCGAAGCAAGGCCTCCTGTATGAACATGTGCAGGCAATTGGCAATGAAAACCAACAGGACTAGAATAGTAAAAAGCCCCTCATTTCTTCTTTTGGATTCAGGGTCTTTAAACTGACTAGCACTCCCTACAATCTTAACACAGAATGAAATGCAGACATTAAAGGAGGAATCACGCATCAGAAAGCTCAGCTAGACACCAACTGACTAGCTCATTTCATTCTTCTTGAAAAACATAAAGCCACAACATACGTGAGGGACGTCTGATTTATATTTAAAATAGATCAGTGTTCAGTTTATCTATTGACTCATTAACAGAAAATTCAACCTGACAGATTTATTGCAAAATAGTAATATGAAAGCCATCCACTTTAAGTGCATATATTCGACAAGTTGTTGAGAACAGACATTATGCAACAGCCACTAAACAAACAAATACGCTAGCAAACATTCTAGTCTAAAGTATCCCAACAAACCAGTCTCAAAGGAGGGAACTAAAGTGAACACCACACTCTAACCACATTGAGGGCCCATGTGGGTGTGCCATTCACCTGGAAAGAAAGGAAGCAGGCCAAGAGAGGCCTGATGAGTAATTTAAATGCTTGCTTTTTATTTTGCTTCTTTTTTCTCAAAAGTTATTTTCTTCCCTTTCTGATAGACCTACCACATCAAGGTAGCCATTTTATGTATTTCTAGCACTATTTCCAGAGAAGATGATTTGGGGCAATAACTTATCATAAAGAAAGAAATCTGTTTTACTTTTAAGATAGTTCAAGGGTTATTTAATAGGTCCTAACCTGGTTTGGGAAATACTGTGCTTCAATAGCACTTCCTCAGGCTATACACATAAAAGGAGGGGGAGGGGATTAAAAAGAAAAAAGAAAAAAGGAGTAACAGTTCAAGAACTGCGGGTCCATCTCTATTTGGAGCTTTTCATCGCACTGATGGTCCAGTGGAGAAGGTATAGCTCTCAGCCTTGATTTGGTGATATTCCACACCCTATAGTGTCTTTTGCTACCAGGGATTATTTTAAATCTCTTTTCTAAGTAAAGATATGCTGGAAGCTAATTCCAGCATGGCATAATAAAATGCAAGAAGTCCTCAAAAGGTTGATGGGTTTCTATATTCAGCAGGCTGAATCATGTTATTGCCTACTGGAATAACTGAAAGCATTTCCCCAAACCTAAAGATTTGCATATATTATTGCCTGCTGCCTGACAGCTGAGGGCAGTTCCCCCAACCTGACAATGCCTACTGTATACCAAACCTTGCCTTTGATATGTATATCTGCTTTGCCTTGCAATTTGTGGTGTTAATAAAGAGTGAAGGGTCCAGAGATTCAGGGAACTTGGTTACTGAAGCTAGGTCTCCTCTGCTCCCCCATGTATTCCAAATTTATATTTCATGACTAGCCTCTTTATTAATTTACTCACAGCCCTTCTCCAGATTCCTGAA